CCCATTAAAGAGCTCTCCAACGCCTGGCTCGCGTCACTGTCCGCCGCTGCAGCTCCCGGGGTCACTGGGCCACAGCGAGGAGGAAGGAAAGGGCGGGTCCTGAGCTCCCTCCATCTTTGCCCTGTACCGGGGTGCTCAGGCTCTCCGCGCCCCTGACGCCCTGGGAAACGAAGCCCAGGCCACTTAGCACCCCAAGCCACCAGCACCACCAAGAAGCCACTTGTCTTCACAGGTTTAATACCTCGGTCTCGGCCCCACTCCAGCCAAGGGAGCAGCTGGGCGGTCTCACGCCCCTCCTACACTCTACACTCGCAGGGTCGGATAGGGCCAGGCTGGGGGCGCTGCAGTGCAGGGCCCTCCAGGGGACTCAGTTAAGTGACATAAAATGTCTACACGAGTAAGTAACCGTACTTAGGGCTTTTGCCGGGTCACCTGAGTGACAGCCACAGGAGACCCCGGGTCACGGGCCACGCTGCAGGCGGTGGCGCAGGTCCTCAGCGCAGCCATCCAGCCCCATGCGCTCCAGGGCAGCATAGACGGCGCCCAGCCCCGCGGGCTGCTGCTGGCGCCAGCGCTTGAGCATCTCATACTGCTGGTCGCGGAAGCGGCCGATCTCCACCTCCACAGCCTCAATTTCGGCCTCGCGCAGCCCCAGAGTGCGCACGAACTCCTTCCAACGGCGCGCAGGGACCGCGTCCATCACGTCGTACAGCTGTGGACCCGGCTGGAGCATGGAGGCCGGAGAGCCTGCAGGGGGCGCTGGCGAGAGCGGGGGCGCGTGAGGAGAGCTTGGGGTTAGGCAGGAGAGAGCCACAGGAAAGCGGGCAGGGGCCAAGGAGTAAGTAGGCACCCACACAGCGTGGCCCTTGAGTTAGGGGTGGCGCACAGTCAGGCCGGGGTCAAGCCACAGGTCACTGAGGTCCCTTACCAAGAGTGTGGCTGGGCAGTTGGTCCCAGGACTGTGGCACCTGCTGATGGGGCCCCTTCTGGGTCTGGAGGGGGCCAGGAGGCCAGCTGTTGCCTACTAACTGGATAGTACAGACCTTCCCACTGTTGCCAGGGGGTGAAAGGAGGGCACGGTTGCTGTCTGGGGGTGACAGGTGAGAGGCCTGGAAGCCAAGAGAGACCCCAGGTCAGCTCTGCTTGCCGAGAAAGGTCAGGAGTGGGGTTCCCTGGGTCAGACAGTGGATACCCACTTCAGAGCCACCTCCCCTAACTGGCCATGCTGAGTTCTGGGGACTGAATTCAGGGCCTTTGCCCTGAGTTACATCCCCAGCCCTTTTTTATTTTGTGACCAGGTCTGGCTAAGCTGCCAAATTGCCCAGTCTAGGCTCAAACTTGCAGTTCTTCTGTCTCAGCCTCCCAAAGATGTGCACCACCACACTGAGCCCTGTTCTTTCCTTGTTCCCAATCCCAGGGCACGTGTCCCTCCCAGTGTTGGCTCCCGGGCACTTGGCTGGACCCCAGCAGGTAGCACCACTCTGGGGCAGGGGCTGTGCAAGTCTCACACACTGCTAACTCACTGTCCAGTAGGTCTAACTGTACCTGCCACTGTGCCAAGCACTGGGGTCACAAGTTGTCCTCCCAGTTACATGCTAAGATTCTTACCTGTGGGGGGCTCAGGGCCTCCGTGCCAGCTTTGTCTGCTGACAGACAGAAAGGATTTGGTCAGCAACCAGTCATGGCCCTTGGACCTGGGAGCTGCAGTCCAGCTCCTCTTGCATTCCCCTGCATCCCACACTCCCAGCCTCAGTTTCCCCTTCTGGACTGCCCATGCTGACCCCGAGCCCCGGGAAAAGTGTGTATGTGAGGACTTACCTGGAACCACTAGCTTGTGAGGCTGGCAGCGCCAATACAAGCAGATGAGGAGGGCCCCAAGCAGAAACGGGGCTGCCAGGCCGGGCACGAGCACCTGGACCCAGAACACTGAAAGAGGAGCTAGTGGGTGTTGGGTAGTAGCCAACCCAGCCCCCTTGGGCGACGCTAGCTCTCCTGTTAGGAGTGCCAGTGGCTACCTACTCGGCCTCCAGCCGCAGACAACAGCACAGGGCTCCGGACAGCTTCCCAGGAAGCTCCTGCGGGGGGGTGGGGGGCTGAGTCAGGGCGAACACCAGGAGGGGCTGCCCAGGATGCTGGTGACGTCCCCACCCGGGGGTGCTTCCCTTCCCAGGCTGCAACCCTGTACACCTCACTCTGCCCAAGAACGTTCTGTTGAAATGTTGAAATGACACCTGGGTCCCCGAGAACTATAAACACTACTATTTATTGAGAAGTGAAGGGTCAGCTCTATAGGGCAGGGACTTTTGCCTCTTTGGTTTCCCGTGCAGTTCCAGCACCTAGAATAGTCTGGGAAGTGGTAGATAATAAAGACTTGGGTTGGTAAATGGGTAAGGTGCCTTTCCCCTTATCACACCTCTGAAAAGAACCTCCAGGCACCCCCATGTTCAGATGGAGAACCCCAGATCAGAAAGGTAATTTCTTGTCCAAGAACTAACAGCAAGTGCTGAACCTCAGCCCAAGTTCTAAGTCTCTATCACTGTGACTACGTAGTGACAAATCCTTAGCACTCATCTAAAGGGTTACTAAAGGAAATTTGGCAGAAAACAGTAGTCCCCACCTTATTTATCTGGTATAAGGTGAATCAGATTTCCCTTTCCCATCCCATGGTTGCCTGAAGTGGGGTCCATGTACCTCAGGGCCAAGCTCCCTCCTCCCTATCCTCTTCTTGTACCCCCACACCCACAGCTTCGGCCTCCAAAGCCCCCACCCTGCTCCCAGCCCCCTTCCCTCTGGCCCAGGACGCCCAGGAAGTTACGTGGGGCAGGACACGCAGCCATTGCTGTGTTCATAGAAACCAGGCAGGCAGGGCCCACAGCTATTGTCTCTGCCGAAACCTGCAGTCCAAGAGACGGCATGGGTCAGGGCGGGGAAAGTGGGGTCAGGAGAAGGGGCAGCTGGGGGTACTCACAGGGTGTAGGCGTGTGGTTCTCAGGGGGCTTGCAGTCTAGGCAGGAGAGGCATCGGAAGGGTGAACTTGCCATACACGGTTTGACAGAGCAGTCGATGAGCTGGCCTGGTGCACAGCCACAGCGGGTGTCTGCCACGGCAGAGCAGTTCTCCAAGGCCACCTGGGAGGCTGGCAGGGTGCGGGGAGGTGGTCAGTGCCAGAGATGCCCATGGAGAGCAAGGGTGGGTGCCCCAGAGAATGGAAGGAAGGACAGGCCAGAGAGAGAGACAGGGAGAGGCTGGCATAGCAAAGCCGGCCCAAAGCCAAGGCAGGTGGGGACCAGCAGTGAGTAGGAAGACAGCGGGCTGCAGGTATCCGGAGGCCAGAGCAGGGCAGGCACAGGGCCCTCACTCATGGATGCTGGTCCAAAGCTAGCTGCTTCCTTCAGAAAGATCCTGACCACAGCCACCCCCCATGAGCACTGAGCAGCCCCTCACCCTCCTCATCACAGGTCTGGCAGCGGGTACAGTGGCCACTATAATGGTTCTCTCTGGCCAGGAAGGTGCCCCGGGGACATGGAAGGCAGGTGGAGTCGCCACAGTGCTCTGTGCAGTGGACCTTCAGGTAGTGCCCTGTGGAACCGGATGGGGTCAGACAGCCAAAAGGGGTGCCCAGCACTTCCCAGCTGGCTCCCAACTTCCCTCTCAGCCCACCCCGCCCAGTCTGTCTCCTTGTCCCTTTTGCCCATGCCCCTTCAGCCACTTACCCATTGGACAGCCCCTGCAGCAAGATGGGCCATACCTCCTCTGAACGTCACCAGCACAGTCACACCTGGAGCCAGGAGTGCTGCCCTGACCCCCGACGCCCAGCAGCAGCAGAAGCAGGAGTGCCTGGGGGACATGGATGCTGACCCCAGCCCTGGGAGTCCCCCACTTCTCAGACTCCGGGGCAGAAGGGGTGCCCATGGGTGGGGGCGTCCCGCTTCCTCCTCCTGGTGCACAGCCCAGGAGGGGCCCCTGCGAAGCCCTCACGCTTGCCCTCCCCCCACCTGGCAGGAACTGACCCTCCCAGCTTTCCGAGGTGGGCACCCAAGCTCCCTGGCCCCAGGAAGGTGCTTCCTCTGGCGGAAGAGCTCCACCCCTTCCTAACCTCTAAGTAGGTCGTGGGGAGGGAAGCACGCGAGCAAGGCCGAGCCCCTTCCCTCGGAGGCCTCCGCACCAGCCCCACACACAACGCCCGCCTCCGTGGCCCCACTCACCGCAGCCCCCGCC